CAGCAGAAGTTGGCGTCCTATTTGTTTTTATCGGCCACTAGAACAATTGCTCAGGCCTGGAAGAGTCCGTTTGTCCCTCTTCAGGGGGTGCGGGATCGTATGACCACTATGATGCTCAACGAACAGATGTCGAGTATATGCAACGACTCCCAACGTAAATTTTCGAAAATGTGGGAACCGTGGTTGCAATATGCCTTTCCCACGCTCCCTCTGGCTAGTATGGGGATGTAATGGCATTTGGCATTGGCGTTCAGTGGTGGCGCTCTTGGACCCCTGCTGCTTTTTTTTTTGCTTTTTTTTCTCCCTTTTTCTGTTAGTTTTTGGGTGACAGTGGACAGCTGTCTTTAGTTGTTATAGTCAGAGTTTCATTAATGTTGTTGTAACTTATGTGCCATTGATAGCCCCTGCGTGGGCGTACCTTCTGCCTTGTTGGAGTTAGAGCGCTGTTTCTCTGTTATGTTTTTTTTTTATCAGTGCAATTGATAGCCCCTGTGTGGGCGTGTTTTGTTGCCTCTGTTTTATACTGATTAAAATTAATAAAAACCATTGAAATATAAAAATATGAACTAATCTTAAAATCCCAAATATTTACAAATGTATTCAAATTATAAAATCTTAGTATAATAATTGGACTCAAAGGATATGTATCCATTAATGATGAAGACACAAAAAATGTATAAAAGTCCTGTAGCTCAGTGAGCATTATTATTTTCAGAATTATGGGCAGTATTAATACAACTGAAGCTTGGACCATCACACATAATGTCTTCTACAATTATTTAGCTGATATCTGTTTTGTTATATTAGTTTTATTTAATGCATGATATTCTCTGAATGGTGATGATTAAAAGTAAACAAAATACCCGTCTATGAAATCAGCAGTTATTGAGTGATGACTTTATGTCCAATCAAAGAGGAGTTTTTATTTTTTTCTAAAAAACAAAGCCATTGTCTATATTTTTTTAGCTTCAGTGAGGCTCGCTTGGTTCCCAACTATTTCTTCTTACCGTTGGATTCTCTTTCTGACTACAAGGCAGGTAAGGAATACCTCCTTTCTAACTGGATGGCAAGAGTATTAAAGTAAAACAAACTTTCTCAAACTTTTTTTTACCGTAGTTGGACCCTTGAAATAATTTTGAGGTCTCAGGGAAGCCCTGCTAAAAATGATTCTGCCTACATTTCATGGAAAAAGAGCAGGAACATTAAACTGCTGAAATGTTAATTACTTAACCTCTTCACACCGGCTGCACACAAATGTGAAGCCTCCCAGCATCCGGGCCTAGACACCGAGCGGCCGCACATTTGCTTTCTATTAAAAAAACCATATGTGCTGAGAGCGCGCTACCAGCACACATGTCCGGTACTCATGGAAAGGTCCCGGTCTCCTCTTTCGATCAGGACCTTTCCCGATCATGTGACCGCCACAATGACATCCCGGCTTCTGAAACTCTTAAAGGGCCAGTAGGCGCTGGCATTAAGGGGTTAAGCTCTGAAAGGTTTTACCTCCTTCACGACCAGACTATTTTTTACTATTCAAGATTACTATAGTTAAAGCGCTACTTTAAGTGGAAATTGCGCGGTCATGCAACACTGCACCCAAATTAAATGTATATATACTTTTTTTCACACAAAAAAAAAACCTTTCTTTTGATGGTACTTGATCACCACTGGTTTTTTTATTCTTTATTACATAAATGAAAAAAGACTGAAAATTGTTAAAAAATCCAAAATTCTCTGTTACAGTATAAAACATCCAGTAAAAAATGTAAAAATCTAATTTCTTCATAAATGTATGTAAAAATGTATTCTGCTACATGTCTTTGGCAAAAAAAAATCACAATAAGTGTGTATTAACAAACTATGTGTCCCTACGCTCTGCCCCCCCTTTTTTTTCTGCTTCTTTGCCCCTTCTTTCTGCCCCTACCCCCTTCTTAGTCACCTCCTGCCTGCGACTCTTCCCACCTCTCCCTCTTTCTGCTATCTTCCTATTTCTTTTCCTTCCCCACAAAGTTACACTATCATTTGCACTTTTCCATTCATGCTCTCTTGACTTTTTTCGGATGATCCTAATAGGCACACATATCATTCTGGTAAACAAGACACATACTCCTTGCCTTGATATAAGGCTGCTATAGATCCTGATCCCCTCCTATGTAGATTTACCTGGTTCTTTGTCACGCTTCATCTCTCATTGACCTTCTATCGATTCCAGGGTATACTGCTCCTAGATCAGTTAGAGATCCTTGCCCTCACGAGAGTCCAGGGGCAGACTGACCATTTGGAAACTCGGGTACTGCCCGAGGGCCCGGGTCAGTAGGAAGCCCCATGAGATGCCCCTGGTACCTTTTCTTTTTCATAGGCTTTTTTGAGTTTGGGCAAGGACACAGGGGCCTCATGATCCCCTATTGCCCAGGGGGCCCCGTGAGTTGTGAGTCCGCCCCTGCGAGAGCCTCTTACCCAAAACCGCAACTAGGAATAGCCTTTCATCTATTTTATTCAGGAGGTAATCCCCTGCAGTCCCCATTCTTCCATCTTGTTATTGATTGATTGTGAATTTCGGACAAATATCCATAAAACATTGTGTCTTTCTATCTAACTTGATCATTGCGATCCTTTTGTTATTTCCTCCATGTTGTATTTTTGATTTGTTTTGTCTTTTTGATCCTAATAAAAGTTATGGAATAAAAAAAAAACAAACTATGGGATATATACTTGAAAATTGATCAATTCTAATATACTGATGGCCTGATGCCCGATCTAATTTCTTGAGGCCCTTAAAATGTACAAATTCTCCCCAAACGACCCATTTTCAGAAAGTAGACAGTATGAGGTAATTAGTAAGAGGCATGGAAATTTTTGAATTTGTAATTTTAAGTCACTTTTTTGGAAAATGAAAAAAATAAATATTTATATTTATAGAAAAGTGCAGCGCTAAAAAAATGCAACAAAAAGAACTACAGTAATGCGGTATAATAAAGTGCAACACATAAAAGTGACAAAACTGTCAGCAAATAAAAATCTAGAAATCGATCAAATCAGTAAAATGCGTCATAAACTGTATGAATTGAGCGGAACAGTAAAGTACATCAATAAAAAGTGCCAAAATTTATTTTCTACATGTCTTTGGTGAAAATAAATCCCAATAAGTGCATATTGATTGGTTTGTATGAAGGTTATAGCATCTATAAACTATAGTATATATATTATAATTGTTTTTTTTTTATACTAGTAATGATGGTGATCAGTGAGTTATAGTGGGACTGTAATATTGTGGAAGGCAATCTGACGCTAACTGATGCTAGCTGGCAGATAAACTAACTGACAGTGACATCACCATTGCCACTAATACAGATAATATATTGTCAGTGTAATAATGACACTGGATAGAAAAGGGGTTAACATCTCAGGGCAGGGGCAGACTGACAACTCATAGGGCCCCCGGGCAATAGGGGATCATGGAGCCCCTGTGTCCTTGCCCAAACTCAAAAAAGCCTATAAAAAATGTACCAGGGGCATCTTATGGGGTCTCCTACTGACCCCGGGCCCTCGGGCAGTGCCCGAGTTTCCAAATGGTCAGTCCGCCCCTGTCTCAGGGCAATAAAGGAGTTATGTGTGTTTCTAACAAGTGTTACTGTGTGTGTTATGTTATGGGCTGTTTTTCGCTAAATATCTGTTTGTTCCTTCTCCCTGCTTTTCAGGGAGAGAAGAAACAAATAGATTACTCCCTCTGTACAAAGGTCTGTGTGTTTGTCAACACAGAGTTCTGAGCTGTGATTGGACACAGCCGATCAGCAAGTCTCAGCCATGAATTATTGGTTGAAACCTGCTGAAAAAATCCCACTATGTCTAATCACGGTGGGAGTCGACTGGAGGTGGAGGCACGTTCATGCACACTGAAACCGGGAGACACTGCCAATGTACAGGTATGTGTTTGTGCCTGTAAGAGCCGCTCGTCCACAGCAAAATACCACCAGGCAGGCGGGTGTTAATTGGTTAAATATCATTGAGAAATTGCCCCCTTCCATTGGTAGGCATTGTAGTTGGGAGATCAAATTGTCACAGTTCGGGTAGCGGTGGTAGCGGGCATCGTGATTGACATTGGATCTACTTCGGTGGACACTTTTTAGATTTTTATTTTTAATAAAGGACTTGTCAAAGACTGTTTTCTGTCTTTTTTACACTTTTCTTGTGAATGGGTAGCTGTACCCTGTACCGCATACTCATTCACAAAGTGGGAGGTCGCGTTCTGGGGATCCCCCTTGTTAGAGAGGGCTTCCAGATTCCAATAAGCTCCCCACCTGCAAATCCCACAACCACAGGCCACGGTTGTGGGGAAGAAGCCCCTGTCCCAATCAACATGGGGACAAGGTGCTTTGAGGGGGGGGAGTCGCCCACCCCAAAGCACCCCCCAGGGCATGTAGCCAGGTATGGTTCAGGATCCCCCCTCTTTCCTGACCTGCCGGGCTGCATGCTCGGATAAGGGGCTTGTATGGATTTTGGGGGGACCCCATGCCATTTTTTTTTAAACTGCTGGTGTGGGGGTTCCCCTCAAAATCCATACCAGACTCGAAGGGCTTGGTATGGATGGGAGGGGGGACCCCACACCAGTTTTTTTTTCTAACTTAATTGTTGGGAAATGCCAACAATTCTTTTGACATTCAGCTGTCAGCTGAGAACCCCACTGACAGCTGATACATGAATGAATGTTTCGCTACTAAAATACGGCATGACTTCATAATATAACTCATGCAGTATTTTAGCTGTGCGGTATCTTACCACATAGTCAGATGCAGTAAGATACCGCTCAGTTGTTCGGTTCGTGTTCGAAGTTCGCGGTTCAACATTCTGTAAGTTCGGATGTTTGACTGCGAACCAAACAGGAGGGGGGTGTTCGGTCCATCACTACTTCCTATTAACACTTTCAAACAATGTCAGCAGCCATTGAAAACAGTGAACAAGTACAATATCACTCTTTTTTGTCTGTCTTCGCAGCCACTGAAATGATCCTGGATAATGAAAATGGGACAACAGCAACTGAATTCTTTCTTCTGGGGTTCCCTGGACTTGGTGTGTTTAGGTTTCTTTTCTTCACGCTCATATTTTCTGCATATACTGTGACAGTTTTACTTGACGTTATGATCATTGTGCTACTGTCAACCAAAAAAAGTCTACAGTCCCCCATGTTCATGTTCCTTAGGAATTTCTTATTGTCAGAGATGTGCTTTGTGAATGTAGTTGTCCCCAATATGTTACGTATCATCTGGATGAATGGAGCCACCATGTCTGTCACTGGATGCATCACTCAGAGCTACATTTTTGTGTCTTCAGGTACTTCTGAAATCTATTTCCTCAGCGCAATGTCCTATGACCGATACTTGGCCATATGTAAACCTTTACACTACAACACAATAATGGACCACACCCTTCAATATTTCCTGGTTATCTTTTGTTGGATGTTAGGTTTTCTTTTGACAATGATCACCCTGGGCCTTCTGGTTTCACTTAAGTTCTGTGGTCAGAATGTCATTGACCATTACTTCTGTGACCTTGCTCCTTTTGTGGATATCGCTTGTTCAGATACTTCTGGTCTGCAAATTGGTATATTTATTCTAACCATTCCTATGGTTGTTGTACCATTTATTTTAATCATTGTAAGCTATGTATCTATATTTGTAGTTATCCTAAGAATGTCGTCTATCAGCAACAGGAAAAAAGCTTTCTCTACCTGTAGCACTCATCTCTTAGTGGTGGGCATGTTTTAGGGAGCTGTGCTAATAGATTATTTGACACCAGTTGGAGAAAACTCTGTAGCCATCAACAAAATATTATCTGTTATATTTACTGTGGTGACCCCATTGTTCAATCCCATCATATACAGCCTGAGGAACCAGGATATGAATGCTGTCATATGTAGTTACATTTACTGGTGGAAATAAGGATTACAATGCTTACAATGATCAGAATGATTGTCAAATTTTACTTATAAATATTACATACAGTTGCAAGGAAAAGTATGTGAACCCCTTGGGATTACGTGGAGTTTTGCATGAATTGGGCATAAAATGTGCTCTGAACGTCATCTAAGTCACAACAATAGAAGAACACAGTCTGCTGAACATAATACTACACAAACATTAGATGTTGCCATGGTTTAATTGCACATAACATGTGTAAATGTAAACATTCACAGTGCAGGGAGGAAAAAGTATGTGAGGCCCTAGCTTAATGACTTCTCCCAGAGCTAATTGGAGCCAGGAGTGAGCCAACCTTGACTCCAATTAGTGTGATGATATTGGATGTGTTGCTGACAGCTGTCCTGCCCTTAAAAAACACACACCTGTTTTGGGTTTACTGGTTTCAAGAAGCACTGTCTGATGTGAACCATGCCTCGTAGAAAAGAGCTCTCAGAAGACCTACGATCAAGAATTGTTGACTTGCATGAAGCTGGAAAGGGTTACAAAAGTATCTCCAAAAGCCTTGATGTTCATGTGTCCACGGTAAGACAGACTGTCTACAAATGGAGAAAGTTTAGCACTGTTGCTACTCTCCCTAGGTGTGGTCGTCCTGTAAAAATGACTGCAAGAGCACAGCGCAGAATGCTGCATGAGGTAAAGAAGAATCCCAGAGTGTCAGCTAAAGACCTACAGAAATCTCTGGCACATGCTAACATTTTTGTTGACACATCTACAATAAGGAAAACATTAAACAAGAATGGAGTACATGGGAGGACACCACGGAGGAAGCCATTGCTGTCCAAAAAGAATATTGCAGCACGTTTGAAGTTTGCAAAAGAGCACCTGGATGTTCCACAGCACTACTGGCAAAATATACTGTGGACAGATGAAACCAAGATTGAGTTGTTTGGGAAGAACACACAACACTATGTGTGGAGAAAAAAAGGCACAGCACACCAACATCAAAACCTCATCCCCACTGTAAAACATGGCGGAGGGAGCATCATGGTTTGGGGCTGCTTTGCTGCCTCAGGGCCTGGACGGATTGTTGTCATTGATGGGAAAATGAATTCCAGAGTTTATCAAGACATTTTGCAGGAAAAAATACGACCATCTGTCCGCCAACTGAAGTTCCGCAGAGGATGGGTGATGCAACAGGACAATGACCCAAAGCATACAAGTAATTCAACAAAACAATGGCTGCAACAGCACAGAATACGCCTTCTGGAGTGGCCCAGTCAGAGTCCTAACCTCAACCCGATTGAAATGCTGTGGCATGACTTTAAGAGAGCGATTCACACCAGACATCCCAAGAATATTGCTACACTGAAACAGTTTTGTGAAGAGGAGTGGTCCAAAATGACTCCAGATCGTTGTGCAGGTCTGATCTGCAACTACAGGAAACGTTTGGTTGAGGTTATTGCTGCCAAAGGAGGGTCAACCAGTTATTAAGTCCAAAGGTTCACATACTTTTTCCTCCCTGCACTGTGAATGTTTACATGTTATGTGCAATTTAACCATGGCAACATCTAATGTTTGCGTAGTATTATGTTCAGCAGACTGTGTTCTTCTATTGTTGTGACTTAGATGACGTTCAGAGCACATTTTATGCCCAATTCATGCAAAATTCCACGTAATCCCAAGGGGTTCACATACTTTTTCTTGCAACTGTAACTATAATTGTTCAAATTTTAAGAAATAAAGCTCAACATAATTTTAAATTATTACACCACATGAACTTCAATTTCAACATTTTTATTTGCAATAGTTTTTCAATAGCTTACATTTTGTGAAGTCCAAAGATGGTGAAGAACAAGAGGTTAAATTGGTAATATATGTAAGTCCAATATGTCATAGTGTAAAACTGCTTGAACAGTTGAGAGGAAAGTCTAATTGTTTGCATCCCAATAGCTGGTTTATAGAACAAATAAAACCTTTTTATCATTTTGTCTGGTTGGCCATCATCAAGGTCTGTACTTTAACCCCCTTCATTCCTATCACCTACTTTGCTCTCACCCATTAACATTTTTGACCAGAGGCCATAATACGACACTTCATGGCACCATCTCTGGTACTAAAGTTTAGTGATCCCACAATGGCCCGCCATGAACTAGTCTTTATGCCACATTACCATCATGATGTCATCATGCCACACCTCAGGTCAATCAGATGGACTCGATGTGAAGGGACCCAGCGTATCACATGACCATGGATTCAGGTCCAGGTCTAAGCCAGTCACCAACTGGTCTTTATACCACATTCTCATCATGATGTCATCATGCCACACCTCAGGTCAATCAGATAGACCCCAAAGTGAAGGGTCCAAGCATATCACATGACCATGGATTCAGGTCCAGGTCTAAGCCAGTCACCAACTGGTCTTTATACCACATTCTCATCATGATGTCATCATGCCACACCTCAGGTCAATCAGATGGACTCGATGTGAAGGGACCCAGCGTATCACATGACCATGGATTCAGGTCCAGGTCTAAGCCAGTCACTAACTGGTCTTTATACCACATTCTCATCATGATGTCATCATGCCACACCTCAGGTCAATCAGATGGACTCAATGTGAAGGGACCCAGCGCATCACATGACCATGGATTCAGGTCCAGGTCTAGTCCAGTCACCAACTGGTCTTTATACCACATTCTCATCATGATGTCATTATGACACACCTCAGGTCTCTCAGATGGACCCAAAGTGAAGGGTCCAAGCACATCACATGACCATGGATTTAGGTGAGTATTTGTGCCATTTTTTATACTGAGGTGATTAGTTAGAGGAGATGGGGAGGTAAAGTTTAGGACCCTGGTCAAAATATAGTTTTATTAAAGCTATTAGAAATTATTTGCTATAAGCAATCAAATTAGGTAAAAAAAAAAAAATACTGATCACTTTCCCAAAGTACTACAATGTTACTATGGTAACATTATACTATTTTGGTCATAGCGTAATATGAAAATAAAAAATCTTAAAAAAACAGAGAAAAAAATGTAACAAAAAAATAATAAAAAAATTTTTAAAAAATTGTTCATTTTTTTTTTTTCGTACTGTCACCAGTCAGTGTCCCTGATCACTGCCACACCAGTTATATGATGACGCTGTACTGCACTGGTGACAGTATGTAAAAAACAAAATTGTGAAACTGTGTTGATTTAAAAAAATTATGACTAATAAATTACAACTACAAAAAACTCGCTATGCCTCTTATGACTGTCTACTTTTTAAAAAGGGGTCATTTGGGGGATATCTGTACTGTTCTGATATTTTTGGGCCTCAAGAAATTAGATTGGCCATCAGTACTTTAGGGCTGATCAATTTTCAGATCTATACCATAGTTTGTGAACTTTATAACATTCCTACAAACTAAATAATAAATACTGATTTGGGTTATTTACACCAAAGAAATGTAGCAGAATACATCTTGGTCTAAATTTATGAAGAACAATTATTTATTTGCAAACTTTTGTAACAGAAACAAAGAAAATGGTTTTTTTTTAATTTTCAGGTTTTTTTGTTAATTTAGCAAACAATAAAAACCCCAGCGGTGATTAAATACCACCAAAAGAAAGCTCTAGTTGTGTGAACAAAATTTTAAAAATTTAGTTTGGGTACAGTGTTGCATGACCGCGCAATTGTCATTCAAAGTGTGAGAGCGCTGAAACCTGAACATTGGCCTAGACAGGAAGGTGGTAAAAGTGCCTGGTATGAAAGTGGTTAAAGAGGCATTGCACAACCCATATGGAATAAAAATATATTTGAAATATATTTTAAAAATATTCTTCCCAAATATATTGCCATATATTTTAAATACTACAACTTTGGCCATATTCAATATATTTTAAAATATATTTCAATAAATATATATATATATATATTTAAAAAAAATATTTTTCATATATTTTGTAATAAAAACACATTTCATAATGCAGTGTGTATGTATATATATATATATATATATATATATATATATATATATATATTTATTTATTTATTTTATATATATATATATATATATATATATATATATATATATATATATATATATATGTACATACATACACACTGCATGATGAAATGTGATTTTATTACAAAATATATGAAAAATATTTTTTAAAATACATTTCAAATATACTGTATGTCTTTAAATATACAAATCTACATTTTTGGAATGCATTTACAAATATATGTAAAAATATATGTTAAAATTACTTTTTTATATGTAAAAAAAAAATCTGAAGAATATGTTTAAAAAAAATAAGACTGATAGAACTAAGAATTGGGGTCTGTTAGAGCTGCTTCCTGTACCTAACAAATTATGGAGCATGATTTCCATGGACTTTATTGTGGAGTTACCCCCATCAGAAGGATTTACCACCATCTTTGTGGTGGTGGATCATTTGTCCAAGATGGCCCACTTTGTGCCCTTAAAAGGAGCTCCTACTTCTGCAGAGACTGCATCTGCCTTCATCAGGGAGGTAGTACGCCTACATGGTGTCCCCAGTAACATCATATCTGACCGTGGTGTACAGTTCACTTCCAGGTTCTGGAGGACCTTATGTGAAGTGTTGGGCATTGAACATTTTCTGCCTTCGGCATACCATCCACAAACTAATGGTCAGACAGAGAAGACAAACCAGACCCTAGAACAGTACTTGCATTGTTTTTCTTCCTTTTCACAAGATGATTGGGCACCTCTTTCTTTGGCAGAACGTGCTTATAATAACTCATATAACAATGCATTCCGCCACTAAACAGACACCATTCTTTGCAAACTATGGATTTCATCCTTTCTTTCA